ATGATGGATTACAGTGCAAAATTGTGCATGGAGGACAATTGACAAACTCGTTCGAGATAAAGACCGGTGTCAGGCAAGGTTGCTTACTCTTACCGTTCCTCTTTCTCCTGATGATCGACTGTATCATGAAGACGTCAAAATCTGAGGGGAAGTATGGGATACAGTTGACAGCTTGAATGCAGCTGGACGATCTAGACTTCGCAGATGATCTGGCCCTTCTGTCGCACATGCAACAACAAATGCAAAAGAAAACGACCAGTGTAGCAGCAGTCTCAGCAGCAGTAGGTCTCAATATACACAATGGGAAAAGCAGGATTCTCCGATACAAAACAGAATGCACCAATCCAATCACAATTGACGGAGAAGATTTGGAAGATGTAAAAGCCTTTACATATTTAGGTAGCATCATTGATGAACAGGCTGGATCTGATGCAGATGTGAAGGCGCGGATCGGCAAAGCAAGAGCAGCATATTTACAACTGAGGAACATCTGGAACTCAAAGCAACTGTTAACCAACACCAAGGTCAGGATTTTCAATACAAATGTCAAGACAGTTCTACTATATGGGGCAGAAACCTGGAGAACTACGAAAGCCATCATCCAGAAGATACAGGTGTTTATTAACAATTGTCTACGCAAAATAATTCAGATCCATTGGCCGGACACTATTAGCAACAACGTACTGTGGGAGAGAACAAACCAGACCCCAGCGGAGGAAGAAATCAGGAAGAAGCGCTGGAAGTGGTAGGACACACATTGAGGAAAGCACCCAACTGCGTTACAAGACAAGCCCTCACATGTAATCCTGAAGGCCAAAGGAAAAGAGGAAGACCAAAGAACACATTACGCCGAGAAATGGAGATAGACATGAGAAAAATGAACAAGAATTGGATGGAACTAGAAAAGAAGGCCCAGGACAGAGTGGGTTGGAGAATGCTGGTCGGCGGCCTATGCTCCATTAGGAGTAACAGGCGTAAGTAAGTAAGTAAGTAACAGAAACGTTTGTGTTATTGCAAGTTGTTTTCTAACGATGGATATTTTTACTAATCGAAAGTATGTAGTTTGATTCAAGCTGTTCGATGGCTTTCCGGATAAGCCAAATTTCGAAAGAACCTGAAGAGAAGCTGGATACTAATAAATTTACCGAAATACATGAAGATTGGCAGACGTAATTTGGAGTTCGGTATAATGTTACTTCAAGTTGCCATGTTTGAATAACTATTGTAAGAGAAATCAAAACGAAGAAATTAATAACGATAGTAAAGAACTTAAAAAACACATTGAAAGTGGGAAAAATATAATGGGAGATCGTAATGAGAAGATTTAAAGTTATCATATGTACATGTTTCAAAGTTACGTTAGTAAAACAAAAATGCACAATGTTACGTTGTAAATGCGAATTTTCGGATGAATATAATTAAATGAGGATTATTAACTTTTGATGGAGTTTTGTTCTCTGAGCTGGATGGTTTGGTCGCGGAGCTTTCATCGTTAGTAACATTTGCATAAAACTAGAGCAACTGACCTATTCTCACGACTGTATAATATATTCATTATCACTTCCATACAATCCCGCTCATAACACGTCGTTTATTATTCATTTTAACACATAGATATTGGCACAAGGAGGCACCAAATACATATGCACGACACAAATCTCATTTGATATGTTTGAGGGCTGTGATACTGCCCGGGCACCTAAACCGAAGCAGGTGGTTTTCTTAGGAGGCCACACCCGGAGCCTTCGACCTACAGGTCTGATCCACAAGGCAGTGGAGCATCGTAAGAGGATGCAGTCCCATGGTAGCCGGTAACCAACGATTAATTCATACACCATTAGTTCACTCAGGATACTGGAGCCCATATGCACCATTGGTTTGGAATCAGGGTTTTCCAACTCCCCTAGGTGGACTCTCCATGTCCACCAACCCGGTTAAAGCGCCGGACATTCGCTTTTCGTCCTCTCAATTTCGTAAACAACAGTAATGTCACGAGAAGGCAATGGGTATGACTTCCCTGGCAGAGGCTATATATGCGTGGCGATGTGAGACCATTTGAAGAGGACTCTTCCCACTCTCGGCCGTACCAGGGCATTTGATATACACAAAACATCATGCGCTGCAAGATTAATTATCTCAAAACTAAGTATCTGATGCTTTCATACTAGGTCGTATGTTAACAATCCGTGTTCTGCGACAATTTTAATGTAGGCTTACGTTGAAGTGGATTTTTATCGTTATTACGTCAAATCTGCAACGTGGTTGTCTTAATATGTGTTTCTTATCAGTCAACTGACGTACATAAATCCATCCCAGTTTCTATCTGGCTATTTAAACCGTGTATTTGAGGGCTAACTTGCACATATTATCAAATAAGAATATAATGGTTTGATACATTGGAATATTGTTCATATCTACTGTTTTTTGTACCATGCATTAAAGCGCAAATTTTACTAATTGGCGTATGATATTATTTTCATATATTAAAAATTCTCACGCTGGATCAATTCTGTTTTTGAAACAACGAGAAAAACTAAAAATCTTTTCTTTCCCACTCCCAAAACAAAAATAATGGCCTTATCCTTTGAAATTAGCTGCTACTATCCATTAAAATAAGCTTAGTGATGATGACTGTCAAACATTCTACTGATTGTGCATTTTTGAAATTGTCACGCCTTTAGTAAGATAGAAGATGCCTACATTTATAGTAGCGTACTAACATGTGTGTGTGCATTTTCTGATTATTTTCCTTCTAGTGATTATATTATAATAAGGACTTTTTTATTCACTTCTAAAGTTACTACTAGTAACTACTATTAAAATGAATTGTAGAAATACAGAGTTATTTCTTTCTTTTTGTTGTTTCAATACAAATAGCAAAACCTACCACACATATGGATTAGGTTCACAATCATGGCGCCATTCAGTGTAGTGTATCACAAAATATACATTTCTTAATCTTTTTTAGCCTTATTAAATTTTTTGTTGTTTCAAGATAAGAATTATACAACACTGAGGACAGAATTGGCGCCAACATATATATATATATATATATATATATATATACAAAACCTTACACACGTATTTCTACATGCGACGGATTTAGTGATCTTTAAAACTACCTATATATGTCAAATAATAATGTATGAAATTTTAATGCTAAGATTAACAGTTATTTATTCCATAGGTGGTGGCACCATTTATTAGTTTGTCATAAGATTGGAATCACTTATTATTACCGTTATTATTGTTAGTAATAGTATTACTACCACTTTCATTATTATTATTATTATTATTATTATTACTATTATTATTATTATTATTATGGAATTTAACGTTTGATCCTTCATTAGGTTACAGAAATGTATATATACGGCAAAGACTTAAATGTTTGGCTTGATGCTATTTGCGTCAACAAGTCTCTAAACCAAAGATTCTTCTTAAGTGTAATTCCAATAAACTCATTTAATGTAATATTGTGCATATATATTGATGCGAAACGTGGTTTACCTTTATCATAAACCATGAAATACAAAGTAATATTTTGCTTAAATTCAATACACCATTACGATATTTATGAGCATACACGTCATAGAAATATGATTTAATCTTGTTCCATATATTTCTTTAATTGTAGTGTGTAAAAATAATAATCACAATAACTTGATTTCTATCTTTCATGTAATCATTATACAGTAATTCAATGGTCTTAGCCCCATTTTTCTCCTTTTCTATGTTCTTGATGAGATCTTTGTCACATTGTGTGAATAATAATACTCATAAAACTGTCAATCTGGTTAAGTATGAGGAAAATAAACCCTCTTTCGAAAATGTGAATGTTAAATTTCCACTAAATTGTTTTCTTGGAAACAATTTTACTGTCTACTGATGATACTTCAGATTTTATAGGTTATGACCTTGTAAAGTTTAGCTAACTTATTATCTTATATTTGTAACTGAGGTGTAAGCAACAGAACACAATCGATGGATTATTGTTTTTTTCTTCTTCAAACAAAGCGTCGTTTGTGCACATTGTTTCATTTTGTTTCCGCTTTTAATTTACGTCTTAATACTTCTAGTTTACAAATTGTTAGTCGTATTGACTTATACTTTTTCTTTTAAATTCGTTATTATAATTAATTTCGTTGTTCAATCAATATTTATCTTAGTATTTCTCCCTGCGTGGGTCTGATAAATTACAGTTGAAGTTCTGTGATCGTACATGATTAGTATATTTCGAGCTTGGATAATATGTATTGTAGGGTTGGAATTTATATCTCATAAATACAGAATACTGAACCGAATGAAATACTATCCTAGTGTGTAGATTTCTGAACATATCTTGCTAGTACTAAAATTTTTAACTACGAGTAGGTGGTATGGGTTATAATGCATAATTTTGAGCCAGTCACTGAACTGTATGTCTCCCTAAAAGTACTTGTCTAGTGTATGCTACTTATTTTGACAGATATAAGTAGTATGTTGCAGCAACCGAAAGTAGAATGACTGCCAGTAGAAGATAGAAGTAAAGTGAACTGGAAGGAAATAAGAGAGCAATCGAAATAACAACGGAATTAGAAGAATTATGGAGTATATAAAGGACAACGCAAAGATGTGCAAATGATGTATTTAATGTATGATTTTCATATTTCGCTAAACGACTGTGATTTCTCAACAAACAATTTATTAGTCTTCCCCACCAAGTTTTCGTCCACTACACTTGAATTTTTTTATTCATTTGACCTTGTTTAATCAAACTAAATGAATGACATGGACTAAATGGTTTTATTCATGAAGCCTATTGTTATATGCGTGTTACAGCATAATAATTTTAAGTGCTTTATCTAAAATACAGAACTGTATCATGTATTACTTGTGAATATCTGAATTCAATCTAATGTGTTTATTAAGTTTTCCTTTAGTTCGATACTCACTTTTATTGGTCTTAGATATTTATCATGAAATAAATTACATCATATCTTCCGTGTATTTTATTTCAGAAAGTGATCGTCTTACTGCTGAGTGGAAGTATTTAACTAAAGCATTACAAAATGTTCATACTGAAACATTATATGGTGATTTGTATTATTTTTCAAAAGATACTAAATTGTCTAGAATGACATATCATTCTCAGAGAGATGAAATAGACGAAAAAGAGACTGATATATTTTCTTTACCATCAACTATGTCCAAATCTAAAACTGAAACAGATTCATCCCTGAATAGTCGTGAATATATGGGTAGTATGGAGACAATATTACAAACTACTATACCATATACTAGCAGTCAAACATTTTCTGAGCATATTAAATCATCAAATTATATCCATTCAGATAATATTAATGATAACAGCAATGTTGACGATGATAATTATGTTGATATTCTAACTCCTCAAGCTTTATTAGATCATATGGAGTTTTTGATCAAAGTAAGACGACTTACAATAACAGTTGGTTCATCAAAATGGTCTTTTAAAGATTTATGTCAACGTGTTAGCCTACCGTTTGGTGTGGAAATGCATCATTTACAAGTATGTTATTTCTAGTGTATTGAGTAATTTTTGATTCCCCAGTTTTTATAATTATATATCTATTGTATTTCTGTGTAATTTTAATCAACCCAGTGGAGCTGTGACACTTAGCTTTCAGTCTCAGTGTTACTTGCTTGAATTCTACTCTAGTTGCCGATATTTGGATAACCAATCAGTACAAGTAACATCCTATACATAGTATATGTTGCATATAGTCTTGCATATACATCTGTGATGTTTTACTGAATTACAATTTATTCTTACCAAGAAATAAAATCGTCCCAAGTAGTATTGTTCTTTGACTTGTTTCTTCTACATATGTTCTCAAACTCAGTCTTTCACTTGACCTAAGAAAATGAGTAGTATCACTAACCCTTATGTAGTCGGTGCATAGTATGTGAAAGTAGGGGTGTTTAATTAGGTTACCCTTTAAACAATCTTCGAGGATTATGGGTATTTAATTATTTGTTCGAAGTGTAAGATTTGTGGACATAAATAAATTTATGATACGTATAGTTTGATATTCTTCCAACCATCGTAGTTTTAGTTACTCAAACATTTACATCTTTCATTATTATTATTTTACATTGGTTTACCCATATATGCAACTGTTTGAGACTTTCTGTTGTTGATATTGAGGATTACATTTGATAGAGTTAGGGTCCTAGTATAAACAATAAAGCTGGGATGCAGGTAAATCCAGCTGGTGAGTCTCAGGTGGGATGGAACATGCATCCTGGATTTCGGTGCTGGTCAAAATCCAACATTGCTAAAAACCGAAATGATTAGTTTTCTAAATATTTTAGCTTTTTACTGCGGAGTATTAACCTGTTTAAATGAATGGCTGCTTCCAGGAAAATATAAAAACTTATCAAAATCTATCCTAACGTCCTTCTGTTGTACGATAGTGTATAATAGTATGGTCTAAAGTATGACAGATATTCATGGTAATTTAGTTAATTATTCAACAGGAAAGTTGAACTTACTTTAACTTTGAATATTTAGCTTCTGATTAGGTTTAGTGTTTGACAGATCGCTTTTTGTGAGTTATTTGTTTCCGTAAAAATTACTACAGGAGCAATACAATACAAAGAACTATTTTAGTCATATATATATATATATAATTATTAAATTGTACTTCATTATTTATTAGGCTTATCTGGATATGATTATACCGTGCATTATTATCACACCATTGGATTGTTTTTGGGAAGGTGCGAAAGTTCTTGGTCCTGAGGAAGCAATGTGGGTCCCCTGGTAAGTATCGTTATATTGTCATCGTTTTTGCATTCCTGACTTAATTTCGATGGTTACTTTGGCTTATCTCCATGATGTCCCAATTTTGACTGACATGATTGTCGTTCCTTGTTGACATGAAAAATTCTTTTCATCACAAATCAATTTTATCTCTAACCAGTTTTTGGTGATTGAGTAGCTTTTTAGTGATGTTTCTTCTTATTATGATGTTCATCAACATTATATACTTATCATATTTTTAGAAATTCAATCAAAATTTTCCTATATATCTAAAGTGTATGATACTTGATACCATTGTTACTATAGACCCTTTAAATAAGTAGTATGGAAGTAATTCACTCTGTTCAAATTAAAAATTTTTCCAAACTGATGAAAGATATACACTGTAAATTGAACCTTGAATTTATATTATATTCTATGTTGTATATTTACATGAAAACAAATAAGTACTCATTTAATTCTTAAGGTTTATAGCTAATATTATAGATAATAAATAAAATTGTATAATAACCATCTGGTTTGTTATCGGATAACAAACCAGATGGTTATATTATGAAAGATTATTTTTCTCCTCTCTTCATATTGTACTGTATTCAATTTACTCATGAAGTACAATCATTTGCTAATTTTCTTTGTTCATATTTTTGTTTTTTAAAATTGTAAATATAAAATATTTATAGTGACCTATATATACATTCATAGGTGCTTAAATTCTTATTAATTTAAATGTTTATTTCATTTAATACAAACTAGTTTCACTTTTGACTTATATATTCCATACATATATTACTTATATTAAATTTATATCGAAAATATTAGTTGCTCGTTTCACCTATATATATTTCATATAATGATCTTGTTATCTCCTTACGTGTAGTGTGTAATGATGAACACCAATAAATCATGACACTTTATTATTGAAGGTAGAAGATATAAGTCTGCGGTTATTCAATCGTTCATTCTATCCATTTATCATGTATACACATATTTAACCATTAAACGTTTTATCTTATTACTGGATGTGGAGTTTTAGTTCATAGAGTGTAATTAAATTATAGTTTAGTGGATATGTATTGTATAGAGCTGTCGTAATTACTCCACTATGATCTACGATTATTGAATATCATAGACTTTATTATTTCCTATCTAAACCATTCATATTAGCAATCGTACTATATCAACATTTCAATGATTTACAAAAAAAACGTAACTTTATGGCCTATAGTTAAGACTAATAAAATTTGCGAAAATAAACAGTTCAAGTTCTATGTCCTAATGATTATGTCTCACAACCTTTCAATCAAATCAAACATAGTAGTTTGTAATTCATGTTCGTTAATTTCATAAATAACTCAATAAAACCCTCTATATCTTCATTCCTATTTGATAAAAGGATTTGTGTGTGTCTGAATGAAAAGACAATTAATGATATAAATGCTGTTAAAGTTCTGAATGTGTTTGTTATAGGCTTCGAGTATGTAATACTTTTTATCAATATCTTCACATAATATTTTATTGTTTAAATCACAAACTGCTCTTAACTCGACCATCACCGAAAATAGGGAAACACTCTGTAATTGTTTCATTCTAGCACGGAACTTCTTAACTGTGTCCATCGATGACCACCCCACCATGGGTGATTGAACCCTAAACTTTTGGACTTGTGCGTGAACGCTTAACCTTGTGATTTAAACTAGGAAAATTATATAATTTCTAAAATATTTCCTTGGTTAATAACGGAATAATAGTTTTATATTTTATCATACAATAAATTCTGTCGTATTACTTATGCGTTATGTTCCAGTTAATACCTCATATGTAATGTAGAAGCAACTGGTAAAACTGTTATTAACCTAATTCGATCACATGCTAATGCTTGTTTGCTCGATTTTTTTGTCCTTTTTGTTGTTATCAGGTTTGATGAACGCACTCTACTTCAATGGACAAATATTGATCCTGTTGGATTACTTCAAGACCTTTCTAAACGCTATGGAAATTATTCACAAACTGAAATTAAAAATCTAATTAATCTATTTTATGATTCTGGTATTAATCATGGCTATTTGAATCGTTCTTGTTTAGATCCATTAGATCCAGCATGTCCAGTATCAGCTCCTAATTATAGAGGAAAGGTGGGTGTGTATAGACAAGCAACTATTCAACTGTTATTAATTTGATTACATTGTCAGGTTTATAAGAAAGGTATCTAAAACCAAACTTTTTAGCTGTTCGACTTATTTCTTTTAAGTTGACATGTAATAATGCCGGAAATGCTACTAGCCTTATCCAGATCATTTTTGATTGATGTTTATAATAATACACTGTACCGTATTGGATATCTTAGATTTGAATCGTCTGTCGAATAATAGGTTGTGTAATTAGTTTTGTTAATTGATGTTGGTTACAAAAGTAACATAATTCTGGTTCAGCTTTTTTTTATCCGTGTATGTAATTCTTTTTGGATTCCTAGTACCTTGTAATTAAAAAAAAACATGATCATAACTGAGTTAGCTAGTTCCCGCACCAATCATATCAGTATCAAACAAATATTTATCAGTTATTTAATCTAAAAACAAACAGTTTCACAGATAAACAATCTATTATATTAAATCTTGCTTACTAATTTAAGTCTTTTACCTCTCTCGAGGCATAAGCCACTGACTAGGAATCTCCAACCAACTATGCCCTGGGCTGTTCTTTCCAGTTGTTATCGACTGCCACTCATGCTTTTGATGTCTGCCTACAATCTCCGGAGTGATGTATCCTCTTTTTCACTTTTCCTTCTGGATTCTAACTTAGGACTTGACTTATGGTGCAGCTTAATGATTTCTTCAATATGTTTCCCATTTACTTTCTGATTTCCTTCTAATCTGGGAGCTGGTTTGTTCTCTGCTACCGTCAATCGTTGCTGGTTTTGTTTGACCAATTGGTCTGCAGTATTTTGTGTGGACAACTGTTTATAAATACCTGCAATTTTTGGCGATGATGGTTATGGTTATTTGTCAAGTTTCAGCTCCTTACCATAGAACTTTCTTGATATTGCTGTTGAAAATTCTGACTTAAGTGTTGGCTGATAGCTCTTGTTACATATAAAATCTACATGATACACATTCTATTTTTATCCAAATAGGATATTTCTGTTGTTTTCCTCTAGTATTTTCAATTTTTGATATAATAGCGAGTATAAATATTTCTTTGATTTCATTCTGAAATTTTGTACAGGCTCCATATATCTCCAAGATACTTAGTGGTGGTTGTCCTGGATTCGCTTCCAAAATGCTTCATTGGCCAGAGGAAATAATAGTTGGTGGTCGAATTCATACTAATAATAGTTTTGATATACCTTTACATACAAATAACCAAAAAGTTTCATTTGATTTAAATCAAAATAAAACTAGATCTTCAAAATCTTCTGATCACTTTCTTTTATCTTCGTCAGTTAAATTCAATAAAACCAGTCACGGTTCAAAAAATCTTTCTTATCTAATAAAAGCTAATTCACTTCAATCACTTATCTTGTTGAGATCTCCAAGAGATTTATATGAGGCAGTTAGACGAAATGATCCTTACAAACATGAAGATTGGACATTGGATGATGCTAGACATGTTTTACGTGAATGGAGACGGAATCTAAGACGTGTAAGTTATTTGATTTTCCCCCCACTAGAAATTAACTCGTTATACTTGATTTGTTAATTCTAAATTTCTGTTTGTTAATCAACACAATTTTCATTCATTGTTTATTGTAGTTGATAATAGAACACAACACTGGTTTACAACCTAATGTTGGATGGCGATTTTTCGCATTTACTAGCGCTTCATTACATGACCTCTTACAAGAGATTACACTCCGTCTAGGACCTCTCACATTGATTGGCTGTCTTTTGTTAGTGGTAAGTATTTGCTATTGTTCTATTAATCTAGATTATGAATAGATCTAAAGCTATTCACCCAAATTTATATGCACTGATTGTTTGAATCTTCCCATTAATGTTAATGTCTGGAATCTATCGGCCTCTTTCGGTATATGTGCTCTCTCTACAAATCGCTTTGATATTGGCACTAATTCGCAAGCATTTTTAAGCACAGATGGATGGTAGTTAGCAATGGAATCCTGGACTCACGTCTCATTCTGTTTAGGACTCATCATCTGGATGTACCTGCATCCTAAAGCTAATGTTCACTTGGAGTCTCGTAAAAATGAGGATATATTTTTGTTCATTCTTATGGCCACTATTTGTTAATGATATGGACAGTGTTTTCACACCTTGAAGGTTATTTGTTTGTAATATATATATAAAGAACATTGATGGTAATTTACTTTGTCAAATTAAGACATACGCCGTAAATTCTTATATTAATTTTTATATTTTCAACTGAGTAAGCAATTTTAAGCTAAAGATTTCTTACTAATCAGTTATTAATACTGAAAATGAATTCACTCTAAGAAATTCTGGAATAAAACAACCGTTTACCTTGGTACTGTTCATGTTTATCAACTGTTGTCATTTTTAACAAAGAAACGTTTTAAAGCCCTAAGTTATTCATATAAAAGAAAGTAAATAGATTACAAGAATTTATTTTATAGTAAAAACATACTGCCATTTATTCACTTTACCAGCTTTTCTGCACTCCCACCCACTTTTTTTCAAAAAAACTTTTATTACTTAAGTACATAATTGTTTTTCTTTGTAAAAATGCATCTACTATGCACAGTCATCATGACATTGTATGGTTAGTGAATAAAGTGTGCTGTACATTTTTCACATTTCTGTGTAATAGTCATCATTTTCATCGTCATTATCATCTCAATCATCATTATTACCATCATCTATAACCATGTATATTATATACATGTAGGTATTGGTGTAAACGAACTAAATAACAACCTTTTGTGTTATTATCCATCATACATGGCATTTTGTTGTATGTTGGTGTGTAATTAGGACAATCAATGAATTGCTTTTTTCCTCCCATTTTCTAATGCATAAATTAAAAGAAACAGTTTTACTAGAATCTATTTTGCTTTGATTTGGAGAAATGCATTTTTGTATATTTTTATTCTCTATATAAAATACAAGATATGGTTATAGTGTAGAGGGCGTTTATGACACTTGCATGAATATATATATGGTAAATTGGGCCAACGCATATCTTTAACAGGTTGTACGTTGATGATAACTAACCAACAGTAGAAAACTTAGAGGAACATATGTAAACTGAGAATAAATAAATTTTGTCACTACAAACAGTATACATTGGTCTGTTTCCAACCCTACTGTAATACTAAAACCTGATTATTTCAATTTACCGTATATGTTGATGCATACGTCAACATATCAATCAACCTCTTGATCATTCATCATCTAAATAAGCATACATCTATTAGTTAAAGTACATGTTTCAGTTTAAGCAAGACAAAACAAGGATACCTCTCTCTCTCTCCATATATATCCGGTTATCGTTATTATTGTTATGTTGTTTGAAATCTTTATTACATTTTCTTTTTACGTTACCTTCAAAAACAATCATCTTCACTTCTCTGTCTAACCCGTATGTACATGAATAGTAAAGTCATTTACTAGCTAGAACAAAAATAAGAATTATAATCATTCACTTGTAAAACCTAATAATAATACTCATTCATTATTCAACACTTCATGTTTCAATGACGTAGGAGAATTCTGTGCTGAAAATATTACGTTAAATTTTTCTTGTTACAATACACTTTTCTATAAATCTGTCTATCGGTCAGTAATGCTATGCTGTGCAATTATTGGAATTGAATTTTTTTGACATGTTCATTCCTACCCCTTATGAGGATATCGTAGATTTCTACTTTCCTTGTATATTGTAAAGATAAATTTTCTTTTCTGGTTTTAATTATTTAAATTGTTTTCTGTCTTCACTTCAATATAGGTTCTTTATGGCGTTGTCTGTCTTCTTGGTTGGCGAGATCCTGTTCGTTCACAGTGTTGGTTGGCATTATGCGGACTAATGATTATAGCGTTGTCTTCAGTGGCTGGATTGGGAATATGTGCAGCTGTTGGTATTCCTTTCAATGTATTAACCATCCAGGTAGAATTATTAAAATGATCACTTATGTGTGTTTTACGGTGAATTATTGATAATACAACACTGTTACTCAGCTGTTTCAAACCCTCGATTATTATTTCAAGATGAAAACTTAAAATATCCTGATCATTTAATTATATATGTGCTAAATTGTGAGCTCAACTCACATGACTACAGAAATAGGTTGAAAAATATCAAAACTGATCATGTTATGGCGTACTATTGTGTATCTTGTCCAGCTAGCTTTAACACGAATTTCGGTCGTTCAATATCTAGACTGTCAGTTTCCTATCTAAACTAATCATAACTTTCCTCTATCACACCAACTTGGGGTAAATTAATCTGTCAACTTGATAACCAATGCGTTTTTACTTGAATAATTACCACTAACTATCTCCTATCCATTTTTTACATTTAACTTGTAATACTATATTAATAAGTGTTTTTTGGTCATTTGCTAGACTTCCCATTAAGACAATAGAAGCCTAGTAACTCGTGCTAACATTTTGTCAGGCAAACGATTAATGTTTAGCAAATTTTAGATTGTGTACTCGATTCTTTTTATATATTAGGACAATTAATGTCCCCCCTCCTATGATTATTCATTTGGGAAGGATAATTTTCATGTGTTGAACGGTTTATCTAAACTGTTTGCTTGCTGTGAAATTCTCTGATATACAGAGCTGCCTACTTTGAAATCTTTTTAATCCTTCTATTTATTCAAAACTATCAATAAATAAAGTGTTTCATTTTCCTTCATGTCTTATATATATTTTTACAGGTATTACCTTTTCTTCTCCTTGGTCTGGGTGTAGACAGTATATTTGTTTTGACCACTTGTCATGAATGCTGTATCGCTCGACGTGTTATTTTGTTGACAAATTCATCGCCTCCTTCGGATTTGGTTAGTGATGTGAATCCCTTTTTTGTTACGCCTTTTCTGATTTTCGTTTCTGGGATAAATAAAATTTATGTATCTCATTACACTGTATGGAATGTTTTGAAATGATTCAGAGCAGACGGCTACATAATATTCTGGTTAATCATAATAAAACCAATTAATAAATAGTATAACATAAAAGTAATCTTTCTGTTAATTTTAGCCAGGAATACCTGCCAAAGTATGTATCTCTGTATATGTAATTATAGTCAGTCGATTCATATTTTTTCAATAAAACAATTTATGTTAGATTTTAATGTTGAATATTGTTAGCATATTCTTAGAATAAAAATAACTGAACCTTCAGTTTTCATCTTAGAAAAATTTGTTGAAGTTACTGTAGGGAAGAATGACATCGTCAAAAACATAAATGGCGGATTTTCAAGAAATGAGTTTCGTGGACATGACTTTTTATTTGTAGGAGATATTTATCACATATTGATTTTGCTTGGTGAGGCAGTCATCGTCAGTGATATTGAATTGCCATTTCACTGTATTGTGAACTAATTGTAGTTGTACCATTCAAAACTGACCCAGTGGTTTTAAAGGTTGTGTTCGCCGAGATCTAAGAACCATGAGTTTGATTCCCGGTGGAATTCCATACTGGCGGAAACAGCTGTCCAGTGCTTCCTGGTTTTCGATAGGGCTCCAACTAAGAGCCATCCGTGACGAATATCAATACAAAGAACAGACAATTTGAATAAATAAATTTTCTTCTTTGTATGTATCGTACAACTAGGTGTATTTGTAATGTTGTTTTACACATGTATCATTATTGTCCACTAGATTTTCCTTTGCATTTTTTTTAAATTTTAGAGCACTTCGTCGTCAGCATTCTCCTTATCTTCATGCTCGTCGAAATCATCCAATCCTGTCCACGTATTATCTGTACATGGTCCCAGTCTACTTTTTGGTACAATATCTTTAGCTGGTGCTTTCTTTTCTGCTGCATTTATCCCCGTCCCGTTAATTCGCCAATTCTGTTTACAGGTAAAAAGATATGACAAACACTATTAAACGAATTCCTCTATGGTGATTTTTTTCACTGTACTTATATATAAGTAATTTTCTGTTATTTGCTTTGTGTATTATATATATATATATATATATATATATATATATATATATATATATATATAATAGCATTAAAACATTTTCTATTGAATGGATATGTTTTCACATTAAAAGTAGTATAGATACAAACGTGGTATTTTGTAGTAAACAGATCATCAGCAATATTTTTGTCTCTGTCCGCCTGTCTGTAACTAGCACGTTTTACTTTGACCATAGCAGAAAATCTCATCTGGACCACCTAGTAACATTTTAAATCCGATTTGTAAATCACTATTGTCTATTATTCCTCTCTCTCTCTCTCATATATATATGTATATATATATATATATATATATATATATATATATGACTTAAATATTAGGATTGGATAGAAAGACACCTAATCTGTACATTAGTTGACACTGATACATGACTACACATTCTATATATTTTAGTTTTAGTCTTTTTATAAAAATAATTCTTTTTTATAAATTTATCTTCCGAATGTAAAGACCACCCTACAAGTTGTTCATCTCTGATCAGTTTTTTAATGTGTATTATAACAAATACTTTTATCTCTTCTATGTTCTTCCCTCCTCTTATCTCTTAGGTTCATTTAAAAAGAATCCTTAAAAGCATTTGTTAGATTGTCGTCTAAAGTGGCGACTAATTTACTGCACATTATCACCTACCACATAAGCTGATTTATATATATACACACACACGCATATAATTCTATACAAATGGACAAATAAGAAAATCCTCTTTATCTGTTTAATTATGTCTGTAAATTTATTTGTAGGTCGAAAAAGAGTACATTCGATATTGGTGGTCTATTGTAAAGTTTCAAACATTCATATATATACATACTTACATAAGGGTAGATAATCACCAGGAAAGAAATTTCAAATTTTCTGTAAATTGTAAATTTTCCTGTCCAACTTTATTGTACATTTTATCTTAACTTGATATTTATTTAGTACAAATTCGACGGTCACATTGAAATTATTTTAACAAATAAAAAAAATCAACAACTTCCAAATACTAATTTTGTATCCGTGTTAAAATACTCGTTAATTGTAATCTGATATTACATTATATACTATAAGTAACACTTGAATTGAATACACTATAAATACTTAGTATTCTATAAGCACTTGTTTTTTTTTAATGTCTTCGATAGATATGTTCATATTTTTAAACAAAATCATAAGTATTATAATATTACGTAACAGTTATAAGACGTAATTTTTGCACAATGAATTTCATTAAAGTTTCGTTTTGTTTTTAGTTAATAGAATGTATAAAACACATTTATTTTAATGCGATTTAAAATCTGTTAAATAAATATCACTATGCATAGGTAAATATTATCTTTCATAATGGTGTCAAATCAAAGATACTCCCATTGTTAAGAATCAAAGTATACAACTATATTGTTTGGTTTACTGTAACATATAATTTCTGAAGAAAATCAATGTAAATTTTAGAAACATTCATGTATATGTGTCATTTTAACTTGGGTGGGAAATTTTCACTTTTCTCTTCTCATTTCTAGTTTTTTTTCTCTTGTCATAGTAACCACAAGAGTTGTGTACGTTTTTCAATGTTGATTTTTGATTCCATGTCTTTACTATATTGTTAGAATTTATGCAGAAGATAGTATACATACATTTATTATTCAATAATCAGTTTTTCTTTTGTTCTAGTTATAGTATATAATTAATCTTAAAAATTTATTGTTTATGTAACTTGCCACTGTGTTGCCGAATGCTAGACAAATATTTTGCTGTATAGAACTGATTTTTTGTTTTTGATATTGAATATATAAGTTTGTTTAACTTGGAAATTTCTCACAATTTCATCAGTCGGTTTTTATTCACGGTACAATTTATTAATTATCAAATGAAACTAATAATCATTTTCTAATATGACAAGAACAAGAATAGTGAAATAAGTCAAAATAAAAGTGAATATTGTTTAGCGTCCTGGATCGTAATCAGTTTCTTACTAATATAGGTATTTTTGCCTAGTATATTTCCTAACATTTAAATTAAATATAATGATAAATAATAACAAGTACATATTGATTTAGTACTCTCTTAAGTTATTCATTTGTCAGCTAAATTAAAAGAATATCATTTATAGTTTTAATACCAGTCAATGGATGATGAGAAAATTTTAAAGTACCTTGTTTTAATGTAGAAGAGGAATTAGAGTCATAGGTGGATTAGAGGTTGAATGTATTGTTTTTGCACGTAAAGTTCAGACTTGAATTAGTGAACTGATCTTCTGTTACGAAGAAAGTCAAATGGTGTTTTTTACAGAGACCTATATACAGAAAATTGGTTTAAAGTAGTCAGCATAAGAATTGTCATATCTAGGTCTCTTTGGGTAGAAAAAAAAACCTAATTCACTCTTTATCTTCGAGGGCTAGGTGAATATTCTCTGATAATACAAAAGATGATGTATTACTTCAGCTTCAACAAATACTCATCAGAAATGGCTATACACTTTGATTCGTCGATAAAAACTTAACATCAAAGCTACAACCTGGAAGCTCACCAGCAGTTCAAAATAAAACCTTTTTTATGAATATTGAATCTAAAAGAGATACATTTGCGGAAATCTTAAATAACCGAATTCCGAAATCCCTTAGTAAAACTTTACGCTCTGTTAAGCTTTGTATCGTCTTCTCAAGCCGCTTTACCATTCATGAATTTGTTATGGATACACTTCCAATTTCGGCTACATGGATGTGGATCTTTAGGTTTATTTGCTGTTTTGGATGACGTTACACTGGCTGCACAAATACTTTATAAACACATCTCAGAACACTACTCGGTATGGGTTTCAAGATGGGGTTACAAAACAATCAATACAAGAGCAACCCATAAACTCTGGTTACGTTTATCCAAAGAAAATCGTCCTTCAAACTGACCTACACAGTGGAAAGAATGGAGTCAAAAGAGTTGTTGAATCTAAAGCTTATGCACTGCTGAGGCGTTGGCGACCCACCTTGCTCAAACCTGAACTTTGCGCGCAAAAACAATACATCCAACCTCTGATCCTTCTATGACCCTAATTCCTCTTCTACATTAAAGCATGGTACTTTAAGATTTCCTCATCATCCTTTGGCTGCTATCAAAACTCTAGATGACACTCTGTTAATTTAGCTGACAAAGGAACAACTTATGATTAACATAATGACTTGGCATAAAAAATGCAATCGATTTTACTTGTTGTGTACATTCATTTTTTAAAAAATTCTGTTCCTTTAGTTTTCATGATTTCTAGTTGATTTATTACGGGAATTATCTTATCCTTTGTTATCACAGGCTGGTATTCTTATTGTTGTACAATCGATCAATGTATTTATGCTCTTCCCTGTTCTATTACAACTTGATGCCACTCGTCGTAATCAAAAGCGTTTAGATGTGTTGTGTTGCTTACGTCAACCGCAACTAGAAACAACGATGATGTCAAATCCCCCCAAATTAACCACTTTTTGTCAATCTGAATCATATCATTTACGACCATTTAATTACTATTCTGGTAGTAAAAATTTAATTCCTAGTCGTTGTCATCGTCATCATCATCACCACCACCATCACCATCATCATCATAATCATCACTATCATTGTCGACATTGTCGTTACATTAACTCAAAAAAATTAATAGGGGGTAATCGTGATATTTCTATTAATTTACCAGAGACATGTATCAGTTCTGGTTTTTCACATCCAACTATACAAGTCAATGTAGTTAATCATCTTCCTAGATCAAAACGTTCATTGTCTTCTTCCAATTTTAACAATGAAGTTACTAAAGCAATTGTCAAGACAACAGCTCATTCTAATGCTAATACTGTTCATACTACAGTTACTCTAACTGGGAATCAAGATAAAGAAACAAATACTACTAATAATATTTCAGAGTCTAGTGGAACTGAAAATGTATCAGTTTTGGAGGTTAGTTTTATAGTAAAATTACATTTTATCTAGATATCTTTACATGTTACAATTATATTTTTAGTTATTTTGTAATGAATAACAAATAATAATAGTACTGTCGGTTAACTACTTTTTAGGTGTAAATCATTCTAGATATATTATGCAGTGTATTATCTATTTAGTAGCGCATATATATATATATATATATATATATATATATATATATGGACAAAGACAAAGTTGAAGACGTTTTAATTGTTATTTAATTTATGATTCTATTGACATCTTCGTCCTTGAGTTAATTTTCAAAGTATACATCTACCTACAATACTTATCAGATAAATACTCTTTATGTGAGTGATATACGATATGAAAGATTGTAAAGTACGAACAGTAGCAGTTGGCGACCACCTCTTAAAATGAAATCCATTATGTAACATGTTTTCATTGAAACAAGAAGATAGTATTGTCAAAATCTGCGAGACTCAAACAAGTTTATAATCCAGTTTATTCTTTGATCAATCATGCATAACTATTGATGTTATTAGTCTCAGATCTAACGTTGTTGAACTTTATCGGTCTCGGGTTCCTACCGAAACTTTGGGAATTCTTTACGAAACTAGTTAGTAGTGAGCACTTTCGAGTGGAAAGGTTCTTCTGTTTGGAGATAATTTCCATCACAGAATGATATCTAAAAAACTGTCGAAAACTACAAAACATTGAACAGGTGATACGTTTTATAATAGGGCTGCTCAACAATGCGCTCGCGAAATCTCCCCTAAAGATCGAAATGAAAACCTTCAGATCTCGCACTGATCTCGCTCATTCTATACTACTGAGTTACCTGAACGTTTTGAATAGTCGATTATAGGCCAGCGTGTGGCTTACTACCTTAATCAATATTATTGACTGAGTACTGTTAGTATGAAATTCCTATGGATTGTACTTCAAAAAGTCAAATTATGGAGGTTTAAGTAATAGAATGAAGTGGCCATAGTTGGATATTTCGAGAAAGATATAATGAACGGAATACACACGGAATACATTAAACTAATCTTTCTTATTTAAAGATATAATGCTTTGTCATGTTGATTAACTAGTAAATTCCGATTAGTTTTAATATCTCGATAGAAGAACAGTGTATGATTATTTTATTGGCATAAAATTATTGAAGCGTATCTGGCTTTTCATACCAATCATACGTCATAGTCTCAGTCTTCAGTCTATATTTTTTTCAAGTTTATAAACTGAATGCATGTTCAGTTTTTAGCTCTGGTTTGATTTCTAGAAAATTAGCTTACTTAATATATCTTCAAAATACTGTTAATTTGATTTGGTATTTTTTTATTGTGGAAAATATTCACATTTGAACTATATTCAATCTGGTGTAATCATTGAAATATCTACAATTTTTTTATCAGTTCTCTTATTCTTTTTTTCCCGTAGACTGTGCTTGTACACAGCATTGAAACCTACCTTCTTTTTTCTCTATTCTCTATTCCTCTTTTTCCGTTAAACGCTGATGTAGGTAGGCATATATGTAGGTGTTGATGGTAGTGTCAATGTTTTTCTTCTCTTCAAATTTCAACCTACCTGCTGGTGTGCTTGTGTATCAATAAGTAAATATCACTGTGTAACAAAAACAATCAGTTACTATTATGTACATTAGCCAAAATAAGTTTTCACCATAAAAATGCACATGTGTATGTATGCATAAATGTGTTTACAATTTTAAGAACCAGAATGTCTAACCTGTCCAATCACAAATACACAAAACAAATGTCACAAAATATTTTGATTGGTTCTGGCAAAAAGTATCAACTTTTTTCTCGAAAACTTTCTGTTTTTAGTTCTTTTTTGTTCTCTATCGATCAGCTTTCTGTATTTCGTGTAGTGAAAAAGGGGAAAGCATTGTTGGACAGTAAGGCTGTAATTATAACATATATATTGATATATAAATATACAATAACAGTTGTATAAGCAGATTAACTAGCTAGATTTCTCTCTACTTTGCATTTTTAACGTGTTTTTTCTTGTCTGTTTTGACTTGAGTGTGTATAGATGAAAGTTCACAATCCTCTCCTTTCTTTTTTTATATAAAAAATAACCATTCTATAGTAAACTATTGTTTAATTTGTCCAATATATTGATTTCGTGCATAATCTATTTATCCATAGGATGTAACATTAAAATTCAACAGAGGATACTTTGTAATAACAAATTGTTTACTTCTATTTAGGCGTCCAAACGATAAAAGAGTTGGATGTTAAAGTTGAAGCATATACATTTCAGTTGCTCTTTTTACTCACTGTTATTAGTTATTTTTATTATATTACATGTGCTAATGGAAATTAGTTTTACTACTTTTTTAATGTTTAATTTAAGTAGTGTAGTGACCAAGTGGAAAAAGCAACGTGGTACTTTCAATCCTGGTATCAAAATTTCAAAACACTTCCCAATCTACTTCCGTTTTAATAGTTGAATGATTAACGCGTTTAAAAATAAACATTTATGTACTTGAGTTGGAGCCATATTGTTTATAGTGAAGTCTAATGATTCTTCTACCCGCTCCTTGAGCGAAAGTACATTTAGTGCAGTCGCAACTAACTAGCTGAAGGTTGAGTTCTTTACCCAGTGAATGAAGTATCCTTATAGCTGTGTAGATATCTGTTTACTTAGTTAAAGGGGTTTATTGATAATTACAGTGGTTTTACTATTGTTTCAAGCGTATTTTTAAATGTAAATCGTTATAGTTTTATCTGAAGTAATATCACTATTGATTTAATCTTATTTCTTTAGTGTGGAAAAAACTGCCCTACTTGTCAGGAAGTTACTTCAATACCAGAGCAGGGAAGTCTACAGAAATGCGTAAATAAATCCGAATCTTATTCAGAGTCCAGAACAACTATCTCTTCTTCATTGCTTGTACGGTTCACTAGACACTTTGCTTTTTTCATTACTAGCCATTGGAGTATACAACTGTGTATATGCTTATTAGGTCTTGGATTATTTTGTGCAGCTGTGCTTTGTGCAACTTTTAAACTACGCTTAGGTTTGGATTGGTCCAGTTTAACACCTTCAGATACCATTGAATATGGGTTTATAAAAACGGCGGGTCAAGCCTTTGGTTTGAGTAATTTTCATATTATTGCTCGTGGTTCTGATCTGCCTGGTTCTCGGCCGGTATCTAGTCAGTCACTAACACAATATACAACTTCAACAGCTTCCAGTGGAACTTCTGCCCGATCCCGCGTAAGCTTGGCTACTGTTGGACGAGGGATAGACTTTCCAATGCAACAGCGCCGTCTACGTTGGATGTATGACTGTTTAACCGGTGTTTCAGGCGTTATGTTATCTGGACGAAAGGTGTGGCTAGATACAATGCGTGATTGGTTGGAAGAGGTGCAAAATGCATTTGATAAAGATCGTAAACGAGGATACATTATGGATAGTGGACATTGGAATGCCAACGCAAGTGAACTTGGTATTCTTGGTTTGCGATTAATCGTTCAAACTGATCGTGGTCCTGAGTTAAGTAGAGTGAGTTTTTCAGCTAGTTACTATAAGTTTTTGCAAATGGTTTATTCACCTTATCATGGATTCATAACCTCTTCTGTCTTTCTTTTTCTTCTCAGATTAATACTGGTCGCATAGTTCGTGGTGGTATAGTAGATCCACCAGCTTTCTATACACTATTACGCGTTTGGCGTTCCAAAGATGCTTTGAACTTTTCTTCTCTACCTTGTATTATTTATCCAGAACCAAGCATAGTTCATGTAGGTCGTCTAACTGGTCCTGGACGCCCTTCAGATCTGCATGCATTATCTCCGGCTGAACCAATCGAATTTGTTCAAACAAGCTTTTACGCTGTAGGTGTTAGCGAAATGAATTCACAGCTTGATTTAGTTCAGGTAATTGATTTGATTATTTTTTCATATTAATTATTTTTATGAATCGTTAAATATTGTTTATAGTTAGTGTAAATTTATTTCTTGATTTATTTAAAACTTTATTGTTTTTCCTTGTAAATGCCTTCAATTTCAAACTGTCTAAATATATTTCTACCATAATTTAATTGCTATAAACGACTTAAATAATCTTTACTGGACTAATACTAGTTAAAGCATTAAAAAAACAATGCGAAATGTTCCGTTTCAACTCATTGCTTGCACTTACTCCTATTGAGAATTATCGACAAAGTGAACACTTCAAAAGCAAACACGACAACTATTCACTATTTCGATTGGTTATTTAGTTTGATGTTTAAATATAATTAAAAGTTCTAACTCATCAAGACATACATAGATTGTGTTGGTATGTAGTGGAATTTTTTCGAGATAATTCCTACGCTTATGTATATCACTCAGCCTTATAACCGTTATTCAATGCCTCTCAACAGTGATCAACCATACATGTTCGTAACAGCATGGAGATAATAGCATACAGATGTCAACAAATTGCTACTGACAAAATGACACTTTCTATTGAATAAATTAATTAAATGGTCTAATAAACTTAAATGTCTACATATTCAATTTTAAGCAAGAGTGTTATAAGTATATATCAATTTATACGAATGAGTGATTGTCATAAGTTTGAATCTTAACAAAATATCGTGATAACAGTCGAATTCATCCATCCACCTTAAACTATATAGTGTTGTATTCACCTTTTATGTGAATAGATATAGGTAGTATGTAACAAGTATAGGAATTGTAATGCTTACCAGCATAAGATTAAAATATAGAGAAGAGGAAGGAAAACATGGAGCAATCGGAATAACAGCAGGATTGGAAGTATGATGGGTTATGCAAAGGACAGCTCAAGGAAGATGTGAAGATGATGTATGATTTTCATATTTTTTTCACCAAGCAATAGATTGGTTTACCATACCTGAGTAAGTTATTCTACGGGCATTTGTTTAATATTTATAACCTTTTTCCCTTTACTTTCTCTGTATGCAGCAAATTCGACATATTACAGAAACTGCAACCGTTCAGGGTGTTCCAGCTTTTCCTACTGGTGTTCCGTTTACATTTGTTGAACATTATATTTATTTGGTTCGAGAGACAGCAATCGCTTTCGGCATATTTTGTACTGTAATTCTGTTTACTGGATTAATTTTATTCTCGTCTCCGATTACTGTTTTGCTTCTACTTATAATTGGAGCTGTTGGTGGAGCATGTTCCGCGATCATTGGTTTAGTTATTCTTAATTTGGCTTTGAATCCTATTTCTGCTTGTTTATTATTAGTGTCCAGTGGTTTAGGGGCTAGGATATCTGTTGGATTTCTTGGATCTTGGCCAGTATCTCATTTGTATACAGATTCATCTTCGAATCGGTCAACTCGTAAAATATGCTTATGTCAGTCTAATTCATCATATGGATGTACGGTATCTGATTCAGTTCAATTTTGTACTCGTGTTCAAAATCCCAAATATGATTCCAAACAAATTACACTGTCTAAATCACCTTCGTCTGCTCTTAATACTACTATTACCGTTTCGGAACGTCGTCAACTAGTTAGGGGTCAAATAGTTCGTATACTGAGTAATCATTTTACTCCAGCTTTTCATGCTACAGTTGGACTTTTGCTAGCGTTATCTTTACTCGTTGCTGCTCGTGTACAGTTTATAGCTGAGTAAGTTCTCTTTTATCTTGATAGTAATAATGATAATTTAATAATTGTCATCCCTTAGTATTCTTCAATGGTTGTGTTTTATTTATTTATTTAATTTATTGAGCACATAAACATTGGTACAAAGAGTCACCAAATACATATGCGCCACACAATAACAATGAGAATATGAAGAGAGAGAGAATGTAAAGTGCGTATAAGAAGAAAAAGGGACAATAACGAACAGAAATTAGTGTATGATCGTGAAATAATAATAATAATGAGAGAGGCAGTTCAGTTAGCAAGGGTACAATCAGAAATTCTTCCAGTTAAAGAAGTTACGTCCATTTTTATGAAGAAAGTAAAAGAAAATTATAGCAGGATCGTCACTGGCTTCTATTCTGAGTCGTATCTGATAAAATCTTAAGCCGCTGTATTGCATCATTTCTAGGACCTCAACCAGGGAGTCATGAAGGACCAACAGAAGCCGTTCCTGTACAGCTTTCTTTCATACCACGACACCATGTCATACAGTGACCACCTTTCCGCTTTTCCCAACCAGTCCCAGCGTCGATAAATAACGCACGACGTGAAATTCTCTGGGACGACATTCGGAGAACATGTCCAAGCTACCGAAGTCGATGTCTCAAGATGGCGACACTTTGAATTATCGTCACTGTGCCCGAACACGTGTTGCCGGACCTCTGTACTACTAACATGGTGTTGCCACTGAATGTCGACAATCCTTCGGAGACAACGATGAACTAACACAAAAACTCATCATCCTCAACTCGAAGAGGCCAGGTTTTTAAAGATAGGGACAATTATAGACTCATTCCACGATGTTGGAACACACTCTCACTGCTAAACCTTTGTAAACAAATCAGATAGTTCCTTAATTAGAAAGTTACCACCATCTTTAAAAAGAGCCGGAGGTAAGTCATCTGGGCCTGATGATTTGTAGCTCTTCAAGAGTTGGAGTTCCTTGCGGACTTCCGCCTCTCTAGGTGGATCAGTCGTCACAGGTCATGGAGAAAAGGACAATCTGATCGATGTTGCTTGGGCAGCAGATCAGTCGAACTGCTCCCTGAAAAACTCTGCCCATCGTCCAAGATGTTGATAGACATTAGTGATTGACATCACATCATCTTCACAAATTGCTTTGCTCACACCAGACTTCTTGCTGCCTGTGGCTCGAATGAATTGAAAGTGCTTCCGGCAGTTACCAGATGCAGCTGCTGCTTCCAACTCATTCTCACTCTCCAACCACCCGGCTTCTCGGTGCATACGCAAGGTTTACCCAATTTCATTACGTGGCATTCGTCGTTTATGGTCAAACGCACGGTCACCAAGAGTAGATTGACGGGCTTCAATGAGTTGTAAGGAGAAGAAACTCAGTGCTTATAAGCGGGACGTTTCGCGAAGCCGTAAGCGACTTTGCTCGACATTTTCCTAGCGTCATGCAATTGCAACCAATGCTCATACATACTTTTCGGCGGGATGGTAGCTAGCCTTGGACCTAGCTCGGTTTGATATTTAGTTACGACAGGAGTTGCAACAATTTACTGACATTGATCCGTTTAGGACGATGAACTTGTTGTCCACTGAAAAGTAAGGTAAGATTATCTCAAACAGGGGCATGATCAGAGTTCAGACAGGTACTCCAAAGGGAGCGGCGGTCTCGTACACAACCACGCCAGTGGTAGCTATTGCGATGTGATCAATCTGAGTCTAGGCCTGAGATGCTGAAGGAGGGCGCGTGGTAGCACATCGGCAATGACTCTTCCGGTAGTTAGTGCTAGCCAGAAACAGGTTGTGTTCTGCGCACAATTGCAGTAGACGGTCTCCGTTATCTGACCTGCGACCAACAAGTCCCCATCAGTCACCCAAACAAATCTCTTCTGTGCCTGGATACCCGACCTGATCTTTCAAGTCTCTGGCTAGTACTACACTATCTGTCGAACGCACTTTCTGTAGAACAACTGTTAGCTGGTGGTAAAATTCATCCTTGTTCGCTTCCGGCGTGCAATCTGTCGGGGCATAGGCGGAGACGACGAAAAGACGTCGTTTCCCACACCGACTTCTTATCACTTTGATGAAACTTTCTCATCTAATAGCACATAACCGACTGTTAATGGAGATCCAATCGATCAGTTTCCACCATAAACGAGCTTCTGTATAAGTTGAAAAGTAAGGATACATAAAGTGAGGATAGAAGGTAGTAGATAAGTGACGTAGTATATAAAAACAATAAAAACGAATGTTATCAAATGAATATGAATTGTCTGAATTTTAATTGAAGCGAGGATAGTATTTCCAGTATTAATTGTCATTTCATTTGATTTGTGTGTGGGCTGTGACACTGCCCGGGTGGTTTTCTAAGGGGACCGAACCCGGAGCCGTTGACCTAAAGGTATAATCCACGAATCAGTGGAGCAACACAAGGAGATGCAATCTCATGGTAGTCAGTGACTAACAATAGGTTCATACGCGATAGTTCAAATTCTTGCTAATGATAATACAAAGTGGCATAGCCAGAAATCGCTTCCAGTGGGACACGCTAAGTGAAAATATTTTCTTACGGTTCTTTTTCGTAATTGTACTGAGTTATCTTAAAAATTATTTCATTTGTCCAATTTTTGACGATTATATTGTTTTTACTATTGTCATTTTGAGTCTTTTCTTATCTAGTCTATTTTCTCGTGGTGCGGAGACTATAATTTATGGACGACCTTAGAATGAATCTTGAGTGACCTTGAGGAGTATTAGCCAATCAGAAGACAGTTATTATAGAGTAAAAATATACAAAACCAAAGAATTAGAGTGGATACATTTCTTTTACATGGTTCAAAAACTTGTCAAGGTTAGAAAGGGGTTCAGAGGTTCTAAAGTCGTATTGCATATGGTGGCGGAAATCATCTATATGGCTCCATAATAGTCGGCCTCTGGAGTCATGTTAAGGTCGCGAAATCTCTTTCAACCTCGTTTACATAGCTTTAATATTGTTTATGTACACTGGTGTCCACAAAATGCCGCTTGTGGATAACGACACGATGCACATAACCGTGTCTATGTAGGAATATGTACGCTCTCCAAATCATCCGTACATATTGTAGTACCCGGATGAATGTTGACATATAAAGTTGTTTTTAGTTTCTGATTAAAATAAGCTTATATATTCTATTGAAGCTTGCTTTTGCTCTATTAATCAACCACTTCTCAAGGTGAAATTGATCAGAGTGAGTTTTTCCTTCTTGAATCACAAAATATAATATGATACCATGTACTAGTTATGGTGTATTACTTGGTCGATGCATTCTGTACTCGGATTATTTTATGGATCGAAAGGATTTTCATATAAAATTTAAAAGTATGGTTTTTGGCGGGAAAAAAGTAGGAAATTATGTAAAACTTCCTATTTTGAATGTTCAACATGATGAAGATATTTTTACTAATGTTTATCATCTGTTGTATTTTCTGTGCCCGATCCAACATATTGATTCTGCCTCAACTCACCATGTGTTAATCTATTTACTTGTTAAAACTAGTCATTGTGATTAATCCGTATGTTGTAGTTTATCTTTTAATCATCATTTCTTAATTATAGCGCATAAATCTTTTTTCTTCTATATTCTTTTCTTTTTTTACAGTTACTTTTTCCGTCTGATCGTTATTGTTAGCTTTGTTTGTTTATTCAATGCTGTGTGTTTAATACCAACTATCTGTTATCTGATTGGTCCATTTCACAGCCGTGTAAGTGCCTCTTTTTAAAATAAATATGTATATTAATTGATAAAATTTTGCAGTAATGATTGCTTTTGTCTCTGGTATGATGTGTCGTTGTTTTCTGCCAATGTTTTGTTTGTTTTTTTAGTTTTGGAAAGAACATATGCAACAGTGATCAATATTTACCAAACTGTCGACTTTAAATTAGGTACTTATACAATAATTGTTCTATGTATGTGTATTGTGAAAGAAATAGGGAAGAAAAGAACCTCATCAGCATAATTGTTTATGTGATACTTCAAAATTTATTGATTAATTTCCTGTTTGTAGTGTTCCACAAGTCTTTTTGGAGGGGGATCAACAAGATCTTTTCTCGATTTCGGAAGAATTTGTTTTACTCTGTTGTAGTTAGCATAAAGCAAATAAATACAATTGATGAGTAATAGCAAAGCTGCCGTAAATATATTAATAATAATAATAATAATAATAATAATAATAATAATAACTAAATACATACGTATTTATGCATACTCGCAGTTGTAACAGCTTGTTATTGTTAGATAATTTACCATCAAATGATATCTTATAGTACAGATCGAATTTTACTTAAAACTAAACATTTGATATTCTAGAGCTTTGAACATAGTTGCTTTACTCTATTATGCCTGTTATATCCTTATGCCCAATTAATTATATCACGTGATACGACACCGACTTATACGACCAAACTAACGACGCCTAAAGCTGTACGAGCAGCCTAAAGTTCTTATTGGTCCTCCAAAATAATAGCTTATGTCATAACCCAGCCGGTTTAGTCCAAAACGCCAATATTAGCCTCCGAGTTACGAGTCATATATGTCAGACATACTGGGTTTATATACATCAGACCATAAAAGAGAAAATAACAATTATACAAGATCAAGCCAAAAAGTAGCTGTAATTGTGAGAGACTGTTACTAATAAATTGAAAATATCTTCAGAATAGTAAATCATATGATAATAGTCAATAAGTCAAATCGAGGCTTATCATAAGAGGAATATGAATATACATATAATCTAGTTACTTAACAGTTATACAACAAGAATATTCGTATCATATTAGTCCATAAGTAATTCTTAACGGTTACCATTCATTTATTCTCGTCCAGATATCACAATGTGGCTCCACAATAGCATGCATATAGATAACATCTTGATAAACATTAAATTGAATACTTTCAAGTATGGTGGCAAGCGTGTTAATTTCAATCCACATAATTGGCTTCTAATAGCTGAAATGTACAACTCCAGTCAACTGGTAATATTGCACTATTATAATGCAATATTAGTCAATTAAATAAAAGATTTGAATCTAGTCGACTTAAAGCTATAGTTCTTGTATCGATATTCTTTACATAACAGAATTAAAAGTTGTATTCCAATAGTCCCAAAGTATATATTTAAAGTAATACTTCTTAAGACCATTTTCTAATGTGATATAGTGAGTAAATCCTATTTGAAATCTTTGCTAAAGCATGCAATCTTTGGTTTTCTAAAGAGCGGTATGTTCGATTGTGTGGTTATTCTGTTCTCTAATTAATCAATCTATCATTCTTTTTCTAAAGTATGAATTAAATCTTTTTTTGTGTTGTAGGATGATATAATTGATTCCAAAATTACACATATAGGGTACTCGTCATTTATTGTTCACTGATATTTCTTACTCCTTTGTTTTTTATACGACTCCTTCAGTTAAAACTTACTATTCTACCGTATTTTATATTTTGTAAATATGTTTTAATTCTTTTAAAAGAATATTTCACTTATCTTTAAAAAAGCCTAGACACTTCGTCATACGCGTTAATAAATCTTTCTAACATTCCAATTTCTAATCATTATATTTTCTACATGTTTTCATATAACCTTATCAATACAATGATTCTGTCAAATATGTATTGGAATGATAAACGGAATATAAAATTAACCGTAAGAACATAATTACAAACAATATGATATTATTCAAAGGAACATTATTTGCTAGAATGTTCTGGTCAAAACACTTTGTATTTTTCCCTTGAGTATTAATAAATAGTAGCAAATCAAGTTAGAAGTTATGACGTGCCTTCTCTAAAAAGAATTTACATGATAAGTTATGACTAGACTATACCAACTTCAATAATCATATTGTATGATTCTATCCTTAATGGAGAGATGATAGATGGGTAGTAGTTATCTTAATAAATTATATAGTTTAATTAATAATTTTTAAAAGGTCACTACATAGAGTGAAAAATTTTCAGTACTATACCTACGTTTGGTAGTAATTAGGAAGTATTTTGAAGAATTCTTTTAGGTTAGAATTAACTAATAGCGTTCAACTTTTTAACTTATTCTGACGGAATACCTACCATAAATTGATTTTATTTTATGTAATTCTAAGGAGTACAAGAAAAGTTAAATGTTTCGTTCTTTATCAATTCTTTTCCCTAAAATCCACAACTAATAATTTATTGTGATAAATATTTCTGTATATGTATACGAACGAAAGTAGAAAATGCTATAACTTACTACATTATTTCATTACAAAATTCAATGTTGTGGCGTTTGAATATCTGTTGTGTCTTGAAGTTTGGGTCAACGGTAATTTCTAATTAGTAATGATCGAAACTTTCTAAATATGAATGCAAAGTAATGGGAACGGCATAATATAGCAGCTGATACACAAAACACCAAACAATACAACCCAAGAATAAGTCAAGAGTGTAGGAAAAGCTTGGTATTCCGTAACAGTTACACACAACTATGGGGCACAGAAAAATCAACAAACTGAAAATGATATCAACCAATCAAAAGTATCAAAGGTCTTCCGAAATTATGGAGTAAGAATAACAACAGCTAAATAATTTTAGGTCATCCGCGTAACATTATTACCCAGATATCGAGAATTTTCTATTACAAAATTATTGCCAAAATCCCACTTTTTTCATTATTTAACACTTAAAATTAATATCAGAGTGAAAATACACGTGCTGGATTCTCTGAGTTGGATTATTCAATTATACAGTTATTCATGTATACAGTGGGCGTTGATGATGTTATCGTCGTCCAGAACAGCAGTAAAAAGAGACGAACTAAACCATATAGTCCAGAAAAAAACACATAACATTCATCGAATTGATCCATTTTAACTGTGATTGCACATTAATTTCAGCATTGATTCTTTCTTGAAATCGATAGAGACTTATTTGTAGTCGTGTTAGTCATTGTAGTAGTCGCTTTTTTATCTACGTTTGTCTGTAGAAGTGATAGAATCGAATAAAAAGTATTCTAGTTTTTTTAGCGAATGTCAAAATAACTTATGTCTATTAGCTTTTGTTGGCATATAATTCCCATTTAAAAATTAAAAACACGAAGTACAGCGAAGGAATCCTTTTTCAACGAATTTATTATCAAGCTGTACATTCGTACGATAACAATGAGACATGCTTCCTTTGTACACACGCTTCTGGTTTCAACTCATGGATGGTTAATTCTTCTGCCACTTTAAGGAGTTGAATACGAAGAAATGTAGGTAGATTTAGACGAATTGTATAAACAACCATAAAATCAAACTGTGGATCGGTAGAATGATTAGAGTTTGGTAAATGTTCAAGAGTGGAACTTCTAACTGTTTTCCTGTCACAGGTTCTCGTATCGGAGTTGAAAATAAGCGCTGGCTACGAATTATGTACCTTGCTTCACAGGAGCAGGTAAATGGGTAGATGCACATGGAGACAACCAGATGGGCAAGCTCATGCTTTGCGGATGCAGAAAATAGGTTTCTACTAGTGAACGTTATTCTCAGCTTTGCTGCATAAAACATACTTTTTATCACTGCCGCTAACTGACTTTTAATTAAATCAGAAGCTTAGTCACCTTTAAATTCTAGATTCATATGAAGGTATTTATTTGAAACGGGATTGCCAGATTCCTTGTCCCGACTTTTTTTCTCATATTCTTCTCTATGAAGTGGCTTGGATAGCCGTTTGCTTTTACTCATTCATTTCACCTGTCCATAGAGTCGTCTCTCAAGTTACAGTTTGTTTTATTTTCGAAAAATTCTCATTTCTTATTAACTGTTAAACGTTCTTTTTTTTAAATTATCTTTTTCCTACTAAAAAAAACAGTTCATACTTGGACGACGTAATTTGTCGAATATTGCTTCAACATCACATAAATCACGAATACAACAAGACGATACCAACTATCCTTCTCATCTTTCTCCAGCAGTGAATAAAACTATTCATTATCTGAAATGTCATCCGTCAGGAATAAATTTTAATTCTGAACAACATCATATCAATATGATAAATGATTCACAGTCATCTTTTTCAAGTTCACCTTCTAATGTGTCCCCAAGTCTATCATCACCAAGTTCTTCTCGTTCATCCAGTTCCTTTAGTCATTCAGAACAGAATCATAATGATGAATCTAGTCAAAATATGAAAATCTCTAGTAAAACAGAATCAATTTGTAAAGAGTCTAACTGTTTAACTATGAAAGAATCACCAAAAGATATTGTTCATCATGGTTTAAATTATTCAAATGATCATTCTACATGGATGAATCGTTCGACTGAACAATGTTCATCAAATGCTGCCGCTACGGCAGCAGCGGCCGCTGTTGTTGTTGCCGCAGCAGCCGCCGCGTCTGTTCGATCTCGACCACCTAGTCTAAGTACTATTTCAGAAGAACCTTCTCATTCCAGCTCAACTGTAAGTTTAAATCATACTACCCCACCAAATAGTGGAAATGGTTCTGGATGTAGTAGTACTGGTAGTAGTAGTAGTAATAATAATAATAGTAGTTATTTGCCAAATTTTGAAAATGAAGATATTTCATTGAATTCTACTGCATCTTTTAATTCTGTTGGTTCGATAAAAAACTACTTTACATCACAAAATCTGCCACTCAGTCTTGTCACCTCAGTTGATCTTATCAGGATGAGCAGACTTTTAAATCCAAATATTTCTGCTAATGAGATATGCGAAAGTTTATGTAGCTCAATTACATCTCCTGCTTCTTCAAATATTCATACGTCTGTTAAAAGTCATCGAACTAGTAAGAACAGAGAATTGGTCTTAGATCCAAATGTAGCATGTACATTATTGGCAGCTGTAACAGCGACTAGTTATCAAACTGCAAACAAACCAGTCGTAGAGGTAACACATGTTGGACAAAATGAAAATATCCCACCACCTTCATATTCAAGTGTAGTTAACCAATCTCACTCCATCGAGCGTGATAGATCCTCTCAACGCATATCAGTTTCGTCTCATCAACAAAAAGCTTACAGAGGTCATGATATTTCTACCCGTGTATCAGATAACGAGATATCTGTTAAGTCATTTGCAGATAATTATGAGATCTCTGATCCTACTACACAATTGGCTGCCAATAATATTTTTCAGCCTAATTCTCACACTACCTCATCATCATCCTCATCAAAAACTTTTAAGACTAATTATCACCATTTAAGAAAGAAAAATGTATCATTAGTATTTTCATCTCCTACTCATTTACATCAAACTACACCAGTAAATACAAGCTCAAACTGTAAAATCTCACAATTACCTAATACCGGTCCAAATTCTTCAACTACACATTTGAATGTAAATATTTCACATTCATGTCATAATCATAAACACTGTTGTTCTAATTGTTTAATTACTCATTGTAATTCAAGTTCAATGAATGATGATTACAATAGTGGCAGCAACCACAATGCTAATGCCAATATTCATCATCAAGGTACTAGTCACATTGTTTTATCGGATTCTAATTCAGATAGTCAAATTAAAAAATCTCACAATACTTAACATAATTATATGCAAGTTATATCCAATTGTATAGTTATATGTACGCTTTCAACATATCTGTATTCCTAACTCTAAAACACTGTTTTTCTACAATTTATTTGTCTTTTAAAATTCTATACTTATGATGTATTTCTTTAAGTTCTATATGCATTTTGTACAGATTTGTATGTTTCATAAAAATTGTTTAAAAATCCTAATAGTTATGTTTACCTTTTTCTTTGTAATAGTTTATCACTGGTCTTTATTTTCACGTAGAATGTTTATTTCGATTAACATTGTTTCTAGCTGCTCCCCCCACCTACACGTTTATGTTGCCTAAAATGTACAGTTAAATTTGCTTACTCCAACTTGTATGCTTCTCTTCTATCTCTTACAATTTATTTAGGAACTAACTTATTCAGTGTACATAAGTGACAGTACTTTTGGTTAAGCACAATTATCGTTTATCCAAAGTCTTTTCTCGCTAATCTTTTATCAGTTTTCCGTTGTGTCTTAAGTTTTTTTTCTTTATTGAATTGGTCGTTTTATTTTCTCGGGATTATTCAGTTGAATTATCTTCTAAATGAAATTAGTGTATTTATAAGTTTATTTTTGAGTGATATAGGTATATACTTGATTTCACTGTAATTGTTGGTATTCAACACGGTCTGCTTTTGAATTATTGAATCCACTATATATATATATATATATACCAAGGCCATGTATAAAGTCAATTTTTTATACGTTTTATCCATGTAATTTTGGTTATTTCATTCAATTTGGTTTTCCTTAAAAAAACTGGTTACTCGTGAAGTGATCAAAAATCCTTTTTGCTGTCTCAGTAGCCTGTGTTATACTGTTATTAAGGAATAGCGTTTTTTTCTTGTGTCTTTTCCTTAGCCAATTATTTATAGTCATATTCTCTTTATTCTTTTCGTGTTTTTTTTTCTGTTTTTCAACTTTATCATTTTCCTTTTATCTCTTCTTCTCTGTGTTGATTTCATAATGTTGACTAATTATTATTGCATTTCTTCTAGATTTCCTTCTATTCAACATTTATATATCTATAACATACTGTTGTTGTATCTTATTCATGTGTTCCTTTGTATCTTATTTATTTATTTTTAAAAAAATCTTATTCCCTGTAAACAGTTAAATGTATTTTTCTGTGTACATACTCACGTATACATAAGTAACTAGTGTTTATATTTTCGTTTAACTAGGCATTTTATTTTATTGTTTTATTATTCTGTTTTCTTATTCCTTCTTGTTTTTTTTCTCTCTCTCTCTCTCTCATAATTTAAACAAATATACGCATAAATAAATATTCAATTGTGTTATTTTTGCTGAAGTAATTTATTTTCTTGCCTTTTATTCTTTTCTTTTTTAAAAAAAATTATTTTTCAGGTTTAATTTTAGCCAAATAGTTAAATAATAAATTGGTATATTTATTGTTTATAGAGTAGTTCAACTTGTATATTATAGAGAAAATAACAACGAATTCTTCGATTGTATTGGTTTGTAAACTAAACCTACATTATTGGTGATACTATGTTGATTAACTAACGGGAAAAAAAAATTCAGATATGCACTTCTATATATAGAAAAATGGAAAACATTTGATCTCCATCTGTTACAATCGACATAGAGATATAATATGATTACTTATTTTAGTATTCTAGTCAATAGTAAGAAAGTATTGTGTAAAATTGCTTATCTGACATTAAATCGTTGTAGTTCTTTTGTTCAATATTGAAATATTCTAGGATTTTTTCTTTAAAAAAAATTACATATGAATTAAAGGGATTATTGGAATTTTATGATTAATATATAATTTATTAATTAAACGCGTGATATTATCTGGTTCAAGTGTAATCTGAAAGAAACGTAAGGGCGAGTAAACCAAAACATGACATTAATCCAAGAAATCACTGACAAGTAGACTTAGCTATGTTGTTAATAGTCATCGATTTTCTGTTTGGGATCTGCGTGATTATCGTAACCAATGATTAGAATCTTTGAATGATATGGTTCAAAATCGTTTGCAATGGCGCTGGTGCATTCATTCTTTGTCTCTTCACAAATTTTGAAATTCTTAATTCCTCATAACCTTTTGTTCCTATTACACTAATTTATATTTTCTTTTCGGGCCATATCTTCAATCCCTTATCTTTTCATATTGCCACTGATGCAGTTACATTCTTGACTGCGAATGTATCGGCTATTTTGTAAATGCTATCTAAATTCGAGGGAGTAAATTATTACATAGCCTTTGACTTTGAGTTTCACCTTACAAGTCTTAATAATTAAACCTGAACCGGTGACCAATAAAGGTAAGAGCACATTATGTGACGTAAGCTGTTAAGTGTCAAGAGAAGTCAGTTATAGTCAATGTAGATCCTGGAATAAATATCTATCCGAATTGTAGCATTTCACAACAATACAAGGTACAAAAATTTAGAAACAAATAAGCATAAAATAAAGCAGTAATAACATTCAATGTTTTCGAGATTTAAATATCACAAGTATGACTTGAATAGAATGGAAGAAATATTTTTGGATGACAGTAATCTCAACACTAGAAAAGGTTTATGAAAAAGTGCAAGTGCTTCTTTTCAATCTATATTGAACCGTGTCGCCTTGGATCCATATTTATAAAATTATTTACTGCACTCATCTTCGTTAGGAATCGTACACTCTATATGGCTCGAAGTAGCAGTTTATTAATTCATAAAGTAATTAGTCCTTTTGATAAATTTCGATAATGTAATAAGAAGACGAAGATTTTCAGAATTATGTGATATATTGTCGCAATATATTTCGAACAATCTGATCACACATATACTTGTTAAGAGCATTTATATATAAAAATAAAAGGTCAACTAGACTGGAAATGGGGTAAGAGGAGATAAGAATAATAAAAAGAGTAATAATAATGTGAACACAATTCGAAACCTAATCACTCTGGATAATAAGTCAATATTACCAGGGTAGGTTTAAGGTAAGAACAAACTGTTTTTGAACACGCGGACGGGGTTTGAATTTTCGTATGGCTAAGGCTTCAATAAACCTTAGTATACGCCTTTATAAGCAAAGATGGATAGTGGCTAGCAGTGGAATCCAGGACGCGCGTTTCATCTTATTTGTGACTCGGCAGCTGGATGTACCTGCATCTCAGAGTTGATGTTCACTCTGAGACTCGAACCCGAGTTCCAAATAGGACGAAACGCGCGTCCTGGATTCCACCGCTAGCCACTATCCATCTTTGCTTATAAAAACTTGTGAATTAAGGCAATATCGAGGCATACACACAGTATGCATATATGTCAATAACAGACTGATCGATTGCAGTCTTAAACCTCAAATGGGAAGATACAAGCAAAACAATACCAAGTGAACTTAGTATACCCCCTTTTACACTTTTATACAACACCACGAAGTCGAGTTTAGATTAATCTTATGGCCTGTTTCAATTATGTGTTTAGCAATAGAGGATGATGGATGTTTATCCTCTGCTCTTATTAGGTCACTTAATTGTATTTGTTTCTGCAGCCATTTTGGTACATGTTCACACACCCTAATATTGAGATCACGATTGCTCCTCCCCATGTATGTGTGACCACACACACACACTTAAATTGGTAAACACAGTGGGATGTGACACAACCGTTTTCATGTCTTATAGGTTTTGGATGAAGCATGCACCTTGTTCTTTCTTTGATAATGACCTTTGCTGCACAATACGTTTTATTGATGACTGATTCAATTATTTGTTTCAATAAAAGGCTACTTGAATCACCTCTGAATGGTGAGGTGATGTAGACAGGTTTTTTTTCCATCAAGGCTACAGTAGGTCTCATTGTACCATGGACTTTCCATCTATTTATGAATTTCAGAGGATAGTCATTTTCTATTAATGTTTTATTATGCAACTTAACATCATCAATGGCGCCATTTGTACAAATACGATCAAGCTTGTTGAAAAGGCACCTTATAAAACAACGTTCATAAAGTGGCTCATGTATTGATTTCATCACTTATGGCTTTCTAGCATGGTATCTTGAATCAAAGTGTGACCTAATATTTGTAGCACATATCTTCACAATCCTGGTCGTTGAAGGTGTATACACTCCAGTCTTCTATTTTCAACTAGTACTGTGAGCCTAACTTTGTTGCAATTCAGTGGTTCACGTGTAAAGTTTTATAATGGTCGAATGCTAACGATCAACACACGTTTCATACTTCTATAAGATCTTTCAATGTTGTGAAGTAATGCATAACAAAAAATATGCAGTATATACATTTTTTTAATAAGCAGACTGGCATCATTTCTGAGTGACAGGTAATGTCATATAGCTATTGCCAAAGAGGAATTTAATATCCGAGACCTCACCAACACACCTGGATTGATGAGAATTACAAATAAAGTTGTCAACACACTGAGAAGGTGCATATCCCAAAAATTTTCACATCTTCACTCAAGGCGTTTTCAAATAGAAATATATTATTTTCTTACTATTGATGGTATAGTCTTGGGATGTGCTATATCTAGACGCATCTCTGCAGTTTATATATAATGTATGTTATAAACATAAATGAACGTAGAAGTAAATTTGGTGAGAAAACTTTTGAAAATGAAGTAAACAGTTAATCACTCAATAAAACATTCTTCCATCCATATTTTGAATGCCAACACATTAAATGGACATTGTACTAAAATTCATTTAAATATTGTATGCTTTTGTTGAACTTATTTTTACTGCAATCACATCTTATAATAACAAAAGTAGACATTATCATTATTATTAATTG